GTTTGCTTTGCCATAGTTGACCTCGGGAATTTTCTTGGTCCCAACTGGTCTGGCATTGTTATTCAAGAGAACTTGATTTTGTCTTTCAGCAACTTGGAGCAAATTAATTAACTGATTAAATGTGGTTATTCTTTTGTCATTATGCTCCAACCTATACTGGTTCGCTAGTATAAGTGCTGAGGTAGGGAAAGTGGAGAGTCTTATCAATCATTTCATCTTCTGTGATTGGTTTGCCACAGAAATTAAGACGCGCTTTGAGGCGTAACATGTCCTTATTAAAATCGTTGATCTTTTTGTAGTCGACTAAGCGGATTTCATTCCATTGCACTGTCAGTTCGGGGAGTAATGTGTCATGTATGTTCCCAAAACGACCTTTTAGTGTGTCCCACAGTTCTTTGGGGGTTTTCAATTGTAAGTATTCCCAGCGTAAGCTAGGGTCAATATGGCGTCTAAGGAACATTAACGCAGCAGCCTTTATTTTTTCAGACGGTGCATTATCTTTTAAACTTTCAGGGTCGGCAAGCGTGGCGGAATAGTCTTTAGCCACAAAAGTGGTTTCTATGTCAGAAACCCAGCGATGGTACTCAAGTCCTTCTTAGTCCAGGATGTCAAACTCAGGTCGAGTTGGATCAGTCATCTTAAAATATAAAAATGTATGAGTGTCATTCACTACCATTTATCACTAAAAAAATGAATAAAAAAATGCGATTCTTTGTGTGAAAATTCTTTATCACATAAAAACAATGTCATGTGGTATGTCTCTTTGCAGACAATATTTTGTATAATGCATCGAAGGGAGGAGATATATATTTATCTCCTTAAAAAAATCATAGAGATTTTTTTTAGGATGTTATATGATGTGTTTAATATATAAAATATTAATATTGGTCTAATAAATGGATTAGGTATATCTCTTTTTTTTTGAAAAAAAAGAACGAATTTAATAATCCTTTTAGTAATATTATTTATATTGTTGAATTACTGAAAATATATTTTGCCATATATTTTAATTATATAAAAAAATGGATCTTAAAAACGAATTTAATCATCATTTTTTTTCGAACTTAAATAGTATATTTTGACAAAAATTTCGATTTTTTTATTTTTATTTTTTAAAACAAACTTCGAATTATCAAAAATAATTAATTATCGAATTTTATTTATCCAAAATTAATTTGTAAAAACGAATTTAATAACATAGTAGTAATTTAATATGCATGTATTAAAAAAATGCTTCGTATATGCGGATTACCAAAAATTGAATTTTTTTTCGTTTTTTTTATTATTATTAATTTCGGGAATGAGATTGAATTTTCTAAAAAAAATGAAAAAATATATATAAATTTGCTTCATATTTCGTAAAATAATTTTATTGATGTGAACAAATGGCAAGTTTAAAAAACTGACATGAAAATATAGTCTAGAAGTATAAAGAAAAGGCATGTACATGAGTCAACCATATATATACACACGTAACATTTTATTATGCGTGTGGGTGTATGCATGTGTCAATTGTATGTTATGAATAATAAATGTGCATAAAAAAATGGAATAGTAAAGTCAAGATTTGTCATATATATTCATTTAAAGGTGGCGGTTTTCTAAATAGAATGGAAAAATTGATTTCATGATTATTTAGTATTATGATATATTTAGAAGGATATTTTTATATGTTAACAAATTTTGAAAGAAGATTCGCACTTTTCATTTTTAGATTCTTGTCATATACTTCGTATATGTTAATATATTCTTTGCATATTAAACATAGGTATATGGAAAGAAAGATATGCCCAACGTATAAGTGATTTCAACAATTGAATGTATAGCTTATACAAGTAAAGAAATATCTTATATAGCTTATATAAGTAAAGAAAACTCTTGTACGTAATAACTAATAAGTGATTTTCACAATTCGAACGTATAGCTTATATATGTATTAATATATATGGAAAGAAATATTAAACATATATTAAATAGTGAAAAGAGTAATGTTACGTGATTACGGTTCCAACTATATGTAAGTGACATATAGCATTACGGAAAAATATAACCACATAATATGTATAAAATAAATAAATAAATAAAAATGTATAATATGATCTTAATTCCAACTATATGTATTTAACATATAGCTTTACGGAGAGTATAATCATATAAAGTAAAAGTAAAATATGGTTAATTCGTGTGTTCTTTGATTCCAACTATATGTATATGGCATATAGCTTTACGGAAAAATATGATCACATGAATGTACAAAAAAAAGGAAGAATGATGCATAATGTGATATTGATTCCAACTATATGATTATACAATATAGCATTACGGAATTATAATAAAAAAATTGCATCGCGATCTCCAAAAAAATGAATCGGCATAACATCAAACAATCGAATTAAGATCAACAACAATAGGATTATATAGTTTGAAATTAAAATTAGCCAACTAGGGTGCATAAAAATTTCGAACATATATTCGAATTAGCCAACTAGATCAATGAACACATTTTGAAATTAAAGTTTCAATCGGGGATGAATTTTACCTCGATGGATAGTAATCGGAAATTGACCGTAGGCGGACAACGGTGGTGCTGCGGCTTGGCTGGACGGTTGATCAGACTGCTGCAGCGATTTGGAGGAGGGAGGCGGCGGACTGCTGCGGCAATTTGGAGAAGGGAGGCGTGGAAAAATTTAGGGCTACGTGCTGATAACGTGTTGTGGGAAATGTGAGAGATGTGTGTTATTCCAATAGGTAGACCCTCTTTAAATAGAGGAGAATTAGGTTTACACAAGGGTTGGACTTCTCGGGCCCATTAGCTCAGTACATAATATATTAGTGAATATTCTATCTATAATGACAGCACACTACAAATAATTTCCTTTAACACGTAAAGGTTTATCCAAAAAAAAAATCTTGTACCGACCCAACCCGACCTTATATGTATCACTTATCAAAGGCATGTTTAAGAGTCTAGCTTTTGCTCTTTGGGAGTAGCTTGTACCCGGGGTAAGTTTCGAATTTGAATCCTGTCGAGAGTTATCTGGGTCAGAACATCACTCGTTATCGGTCAACTTGCGATTAAAATCCAATAACTGCCGGATCGGTGTGAGGGGCGTTAGAGATAGATGGAATGTCTTTTTTAAAAAGGGTAGCTTCCTTAGTATGGTTATTAATTATCAAAAATGATGTTTGTACACACTCTTATACACACTTTTGTACACACCCATGTCTGTGAAAGCTTTTTTTTTTGTCTGTGAACATCGATTCATAGACAATGTTTTGCACAAACAAAATATTGTCTGTGAACCGGATTCACAGACAAAAAAAAAGCTTCACAAACATGGTGTGTATAAGGTGTGTACAAGGGTGTGTACATCAAGCATGGTTGATTAATTATAGAAGTTGATCGAACTTTGGGACCGTAAATTATATTGTTGCCTTGTTGGTGTGTTGTAACGTTATGGATGGGGGACTCATAAAAAAACCTTCTTCAGTTGATTGTTCCTCAACCACCCGAATTAAAGAACATTGAAATACAATAGAAGGAATAGTCTTCATATGCAATTTTGTCACCATTAATCGGTCAAAGGGCATTTTCACTCATCAAAGGACTTATAAATGCCCTTTCTTTGGGCCAGTCACGAGCTGTCTTTATATTTATTTACTCCTTCCGTTCCATAAAATTCTTATCACTTTCTTTTTTGGACCGTCCCAAAAAGTTTTTCTCACTTACTATTTTTGGACAATTTGTGTGGTTCACATTCATTTCATTTTTTTCTTACACAACTACAACCACACATTTCCACTTTATTCCACTTTCTTAATCTCCGTGTCAAGTCAAAGTGGGAAGAATTTTATGGGACAGAAGGAGTAATGAACTTGAATCAATAATTGATTGATGATTCATAATTGCACGTAGTGCTTATAGATCGAAATTAAGAAGGCATAAGTTGAAATGACAATTAAGTTTATCTTATGTCTAGCTTAAGCGCATGACCTGGCTGAGTTTGATATTAAAATGCTCTTGGATTAATAGAGTTTGATAAAAAAAAAAGGAAAAGGAAATGTCAATGAAGGACAAAATGAAAGAGTTGAATGGCAAGGACCCCACATAAGCCATGGCACATGTTTTCTGTGCTGAAAAATAAAGAAGGGGGATTTTCCAAAATAGGAGTAAATGAAGTTTGAAATTCCAAAACATGACTACTTTGTTTTTATTTTCGAAATGAGACTAACATGTCAGTATTTACTGTCATCTTGTAGCCTGACTGTCAAATAGTTGCAGTACAGTGCATTTAACATGACAATATTTATTATAATTAATGACAGTTTTTTCAATCATGACATTATTTTTCAGTCATGATAGTTTAACTCCTATTTCGAGAAGAAAAACATACCAGTCCTGTTTTTGGAATTCCAAGTGTTATTTGCTCTTATTTTGGGTAATTTCCCAAAAAAGAAAGATATATAGTCACTTAATTGATGTAAATAAAGCTAAGAGGAGGTAGGCATAGAACCATGACCTTGGCACCAAAGGAAATTAAAAATAACTCTAACAATTGCCAAATTAATGAGCTATCCTCTTCTTCAGTTTCTTCAGACAAGTTGAAGGTAGAGATGCTATCAAACGGAAAGATGTCACAATGAGAGAATTCTTTGCCTACAGGCTTCAACAAAGGGATGTCGAATTTAGTACAATTCTATCATCACGAAGACTATTTCATCAATTTATTGTTGATGCTTATACGATGATAGAAAGTGATCGCTTGAAGTATGTCCGGCTAAATCAAAAGAAGCTAAGAGCAGATGTTTATAATGGGTTAACCGATGCGGTTGTAAGAGGCGAAACAAACCCAAACACTCAAGGCAAAAGAATTATTTTACCATCTTCTTTCACAGGAGGTGCAAGGTACATGATACAAAATTACCAAGATGCCATGGCGATAGTCACACAATTCGGAAACCCGGATTTGTTCATCACATTTACGTGCAATCCCAAATGACCAGAAATAGAGAGAGAAGTAAAAAAGGCGGGAGTGAGACCAGAAGATCGGCCCGATTTGGTTACAAGGGTCTTTAAGATAAAGCTAAACAATTTGATAGCCGATTTGAAAGATCAGAATATATTCGGCCATCCAAGAGCATGTAAGTTTTACTTTTGACAAAATGTTTACTTTGTTAACACATGCACACAATTTTACTTATCTTAATAATGGTATTATAGTGTAATATATCTTAGATGGACTAATGGGATGTGTAGGTGGATGTCTAACATAAGATTCAAAGCTCTGAGATTTTTAATAAACAGAACTACATTAATTTCATTATAATTAACAAAAATATTGTCCTGCGATTTTATAATTACATAAATAAAAAAGGAAAAGTTCCCGAAATAGGACTAAAAAAGTTTGAAAATTATAAAATAGGACTGTCATATTTTTTATTCCCAAAATAGGACTAATTACTGGCATGTTTAGAAAATATTGTCATGTTTGAAGTTTGGTACTACCAAAACATGGCAGTAATTGGTCCTATTTTGGGAATAAAAACATGACAGTCCTATTTTAGAATTGAAAACTGTTTTAGTCCTATTTTGGGTAATATCTCTTTAACAAATGTCATAAATGTGTATTAGTGAATTATCTTACCATGCCTTACATTATTTTATCACTCATCTACTTTCTCTATTCACGTAATACTTTTTATAAAAAAAAATTATTCCATTTATTCAAAAATAAATATTTCTGTCATTTTTATATGGTGACATTTCACTTACTATGATAGTACTATATGTCGTATTTTATATGCAGTGGTCTACACGATAGAATTTCAAAAAAGGGGACTGCCGCATGCCCATATTGTGTTGTTCTTACAACCAGAGTTCAAACTAAGGGAGTGTGATGATATAGACAAAGTCATATCAGCCGAATTGCCGGATCCGAATCTCGACTATGAGCTCTTTAATGCGATGCAAAGCACAATGATCCATGGACCATGTGGATATCTAAACAAGAAAGCACTGTGCATGGAAAACGGAAAGTGTGGCAAATATTATCCAAGAACTTTTAACCAATTCACAACAGTGCGTGAAGATGGTTATCCAATCTATAGAAGGAATACCGGTATCACGGCCGAAAAAAATAAAATACCGATTGATAACAAATATGTTGTGCCATATAATCCGTACTTGCTCAGAAAGTATTGCGCCCACATAAATGTCGAGTGGTGCTATAAGGCGAGATCTATAAAATATCTCTTCAAGTATGTCAATAAAGGTCACGACCGTGTTACCGCTGCATTATATGAAAAAGATACAGCGGAGAACAACGTCGTACATGATGAGATTAAAGCTTACTGCAATTGCAGGTATATTAGCGCCGCAGAAGGTATGTGGAGGATATTGAGCTTTGATATACATTACAGAATCCCGGCTGTTGAAAGACTGAGTTGTCATCTCCCCAATCAGCAATATGGGGTATACAATGAAGATCAAGAAATTGAGCAGGTAAGTTTTGTAAACTGACTTTCAATTAAAATAGTTGAATATAATAATAGTTACTAACAATTTCATTTTAATATTTTCAAAAATAATAGGTGGTGCAGCAGTCCAAAGTACAAAAAACCACGCTCACTGCGTGGTTTGAAACTAATAGAGTTGATCCAGATGGTAGAACACTTTCTTACGCAGAATTTCCCATGAAGTATACATGGAATGAGAGTGCAAAAGTTTGGGTGAAAAGACAACAACGCTTATGCATTGGGAGAATACATAACATACCTCCGGGATCGGGCGAGTGTTGGTACTTAAGGATACTACTCAATAAAGCTAAAGGATGTCAGTCTTTTGAAGATGTTCGCACCGTGGATGGTGTCGTATACCCGACATACAAAGATGCCTGCCACGCACTAGGTATTATAGATGACGATCAAGAATTTGTTGAAGCACTCGAAGAAGTGAACAAATGGGGAACTGCATCATACTTAAGAACATTATTTGCTACTTTTCTGCTTATAAAGAATCTGCATTCTCCATTGCACGTGTGGACCAATTGTTGGAAGCTTCTTGCAGATGATTTCTTGCATGGTCCAGGAAATCCAAATATAACGTACATTGTCTCAGGTACGCTTCCACATCATTAACAATTATATTGCATTTTACAGAATAAATAGGATTACTATTATTTTTCAATTTAAAGAGTGACATTAGTTTTACATATCATTGTACATGTTAAATTATTTAATTAAATGTATACAATTAATGTTCTTAAATTATTTAAGAGAGCGAGGCTCAAGACAAGGCACTTCAAAGGATCGAAGAGATTCTAAAGCGTAATGGAAGAACATTGGCTGACTTTGAAGGGATGCCTGTCGTAGAACATATAGATGATGGACGAGTAGTTGACGCATTGGTGCGGGAAGAAATGCAGTATGATAAGGAAGAATTGTCTAGCCAGCTGATGCAGTTACTTCCATCATTAACGACTGAACAAAAAGAAATTTCTGATTGTGTTATTAATGCAATATCTACAGATCAAGGAGGTAGGAAAACTACATAAAATTAATGAATACTTATTATATCTCAATTAATATTTTAAGTCATGCTAAACACGTCACCCGTTATCTTCACAAACCAGGTGTGTATTTTGTTCATGGATTTGGTGGGTCTGGAAAAACATTCTTATGGAATACATTGGCAGCATCTGTCAGGAGCAGAGGAGAAGTGTTGGTTAATGTTGCTTCAAGCGGCATTGCGTCATTATTGCTTTCCGGTGGTAGAACCTCTCATTCCAGGTTCCAATTTACTCTTCACAACTTCCAATTCAATTATTAATAAAACTACATTATTAAAAAATAATTTAATCGTTAATACTAATGCAATCAAATATCATCATAAATTTAAAATGATTCTGCATACTTCATTTATAATAACTACGTTTTATATTAATATAAATATTTTAAGTCTCCAATTATATAATACATAGTATATATTAGCATTAGTATATATTATTCTGCAATTCATTCCAGGTTTTCGATCCCATTGAGTATTGCTGAAAATTCAACATGTAATATCAAGCGCGGGAGTCCAAAATGAAGATTATTAATAGCCACAAAATTAATCATTTGGGATGAAGCGCCAATGACTCACAAGTATTGCTTTGAGGCTCTTGACAAGACACTCAAAGATATTTGCTCATCTGTAAATCCAAAGAATGAAGAGTTGCCCTTTGGTGGAAAAATTGTTGTTCTATGAGGGGATTTTCGACAGACGCTACCGGCATTGAAGTTGAAATACCACCTGATTTGTTGATCCACTCGAATGGGGATAACTACAAAGCCATTGTTGACAGTACTTATCCAGACTTGCACAACAATCTGTCAAATTTTGACTACTTGGAAGAGAGGGAAATCCTGGCACCAACTTTGGAAATAGTAGAGGGCATAAACAACTACATCCTCTCAACGTTACCAGGAGAAGAGGTAAAATATTTCAGCTACGACATCATATGTCCCACTGCGGCAAGTAGTTCTGGTGATGATGACATATATCCACAAGAATATTTAAACAGCATTTCAATATCTGGATTGCCAAATCATGTGCTTAGCCTCAAAATCGGTGTCCCTATAATGTTATTGCGCAATATTGATCAATCTGCAGGTCTATGCAATGGAACACGAGGGGTGATAAAAAAATTGGGGAAACGCATCTTGGAAGCCAAAGTCCTCACCGGACCGAGCAGATGGAATAAAATATTGATTCCAAGGATGAATCTATGCCCAACAGATACAACGTTGCACATAAAACTTCAGAGGAAACAATTCCCAATTTTAGTATGCTTTGCAATGACCATCAACAAAAGTCAGGGGCAAACACTAGCACATGTTGGACTTTATTTGGAAAAAAGTGTATTCACGCATGGGCAGCTATATGTGGCTGTTTCAAGAGTCAAGAGCAGAAATGGGTTGAAAATTTTGTTGGGTGGAGGAGAAGGATGCAATACAACAACAAATGTTGTATACAAAGAAGTATTTCAAAATGTTTGATTTTCTTTTATAGCACATCGATGTATGATACTTATCACAAGAATATTTTCATTTCACTATACTTTTGTTACTTTGCACGTTATGAACTTTTTTAAATTACCGTGATAATATTAATGACAATAATAAAAATGATAATAATAATAAATCTTAAGCCACCAATTTTTATCCCTTTCTCATTTCTCAACAAAACTTTAGTAATATACCTGTAATATATTATTTTTCAACATAAATAATGTTATTAACCATTTCTATAAATAACTCAAAACATATATTAATATATGCTATCTTTTTCCTGCACATTTAATATATGATGGAGTATTATATTTCATATTAACATGACACTACCGGGGCATTGCCCCGGGTGTTACACTAGTTTTTAAATAAATATCGAGTACATTATGTATATTGACTTGTATTTTACTTAGAAATTGCTCCAATAATGCGAGTAAAAATCATAAACACGACTCGTCTTGTTCAAATGCAGCACAGAATATGTTGTATTCTTAAAAGTCAAAACATGACTGATTTAATCCAATTAAACTAACAAAATGATAAAAAGTTTACAAAATAGTAGAAAAAGAGTCATGATTTGAAAAGAAAAAGATTATTCTCATTTTTTTAGAAAGAAAAATAACGAGCACATCGTTTTCTTAAAATTTGATGTGTTATGTGTTACTTGCACGGCTGGTCCTGTCCAGTTTTGATCCTATGAGCGATATACTATTTTGGTTTTATTTCCAAGACAAACAGGAAATTATAATTACTTAAAGTAAAAATTACGGAGTACAATAAAACTATGAGAAATTACTCTAAATAGGACTAAAAACGTGTATATTGCAAACTAAGATTATCATGTTTTTATTGCCTAAATAGAAGTAATTACTGCCATATTTTGACACTATCATACTTTACACATGGTAGTATTTTCCGAACATAATAGTAATTACTCTTATTCAGAAAAAAATAAAAACTTGAAATTGTCAACAAAAATTATCAACAAAAACTACACTGCCATTCAAGACTTTTTACAAAGTTTGAAATTGTCAACAAAAATTACACATTAGGCTTAATTAATTAATTGAAATTATAAATAAAAAAGAAGCATACTCAGATTTCATATAAAGAATAAAACTTGGGCCTAATTTTCTTTCTAGTTTTTTTCGGGCCTAGGGCAGTCGCCCCTCCTGCCAATAGCGGAGCTCACTATGTTCCAAAGTATGCATGTGAACACCCAAAAGTTTAGATTAGAAGTGTAAAATTACATATAAAAAATTGATTTAATAATTCATTGTACTTTACTTGTATAATACTTCTTAATGTGTACTTTATTTCCTAGTTTTATTTTTGTTTTTGAAAAGATGTATGTGTAGAATTGTACATCAAATATTATTATTGCTCATAATATAATTATAATTGTAAAATAACTTTGAACACCCAAAATTTAGATGTTAGATCTGCCACTGCCTGCTTCCCTTCCCTTAGTACCGGCCCTGGTTACTTGTATTTAGAAAAATTCTTTTTTAAAAGTGGATCATTAGAAAGTCATTATGTTCGAGATCTAACTTTTCTCAATAGATGAACATTGTCATATAGAAGTACCTAGCATACACATTTACCCATATTTCTCACATCGTTTTCATTTTCCGTATCTCTTCGATCAATTTCACCCCGGTGCAAATCCAATAGGCAAAGGTGTTAGGTGAGGGCCAGGGAACACCTCGCGAGAGTGTATTAATAGCATATGCATTACAACCAGTAGGAGGGTTAAAGCAAGGTCTACTCGAAAAAAATAAAAACTTGCAGAACTAAAGTAACTAAAGATTACAAAAACTGTTCATTCAAAGATGCATTAAAGGAGAGAACGTTGAGCATTGAAGGTTGTGATAAAAATCTATCTTTGTGAGATAGCTTTTTGGGCAACATTCGTGTCTGCGGGTCACCCACGCACGCAAGCCGTAATGTGTTTTCCCCGTTTTCAGGATTTGATCTGCACCCCCTTACACGTGAAGAGAGCCTTTCCACCAAGGAATTTTAACTTATTTAAAGAGGCTCATCTTTATAATACGATGAAAATCCCTTGTGTTTTCCGGTGTGGGATAAATCACACTAGAAACTCATCATTTTTCTAGTTATTCTCCATTTCAATGAGTGAAGTTCGAGAATCATTTTCTCATTAATATATTATCCGTTTTGAGTGTACCATATATCGAATTGAAGCCCTTGACAAGCAGAATCCGAAAGCACCTTGACCCAACCCAAATCGGAAGTGGGACCCACTCAAAATTCATTCCAAAATTTACCACTTAATAAAATTTTAACACATTTTTCCAACGGTAGGGAGAACCAGTGGGACATAGGCACATGGTTCAATGATGTCATCTATATTTTCCAGGATCTGTTCACATGAATTGGCAGAGGGAATATGGTTGTTTTTACTTGGACTGTAATTCATCCCAGACCAGATCAGATCAGACCAGACCAGACCAAAACAGATCAGACCAGACCAGACTAAAACAGACCAGACCAGACCAGATCAGACCATATTTTATTATTATTATTATTATTATTATTGTTGTTGTTGTTGTTGTTGTTGTTGTTGTTATTGTTATTATTATTTGTAATTATAAATGAATAAAATATAATTATTTATGGATTATAATATATATATATATATATATATAAAATAAAATCTTTAAGCAAAAAATATAAAAAATAAAATTTCAGACCAGACCAGACCAGACCAGATCAGACCAGACCATACCAGACCAAAACAGACCAGACCAGATCAGACCAAAACAGACCAGACCAGACCATTAAATTACAGTCCAAGTAAAAACATCCTAGGTTCCAAATAGTGTATCGGTGCAATAATCAGGGGCTCGGTTGTTAAGACAAACTCAGACTTATTGGAAGGAGAATCCAACCGGTGAGCGTAGCTCAACTGGTAGATAAGGGGGTGCCACAAGGGGTAAGTCTCGTGTTCAACTGGTAGATAAGGGGGTGCCACAAGGTGTTCAAATCCCGACAAATGCGATGCGAGGTTACTATGCTAAAATGCATAAGGCCTCTGCAAGTATCAATTCAAGGTCAGAGCCTCACTGTCTATCTGTCAGCCTGTGATTAAAGTCCAATTTACATCATCTCATCTAGCTGTCCAATCAGTGTTGGGGGCTCTGAGGGATGGAGTGTGGGGTGTCAATCCTTTTTTGGAAGGAGAATCCAAAACATTTTCAATAATGTAATTGGCATATATACCTCAACCTCTTGAATCAGTTTTATAACGTCAATAAAATCTTCTTCCTATATATATCTCATATACCATAAAATCACTTAAAATATTTCATTTAGACTGGTTTTCAATCTCTGCTAAGCTAGACCAGGCAAGTCAAACTAAACTTTACTAGTCTTAAATAGATAAGAGCATATCTAAACTGATTAACTGGAACAAATCTGACGGAAACTTATTTGTTGCATAACTTTGAAAAAGGGTACAAATATTGTCTATGCGAATGATTTTTGAAAAAGGGTATAAATGTGCAATTTTTTACCGGGTTTGAAGTTAAAACTTTTACCATGTTAAAATAAAAAAAAATAAATGGTGTTAAACTGTTCATTCAATTTTAATGGTAGGAACTACATTTACAATAATAATTGAGACAATTGGATGTGAGCAATCAGTGGCGGAGCCAGAGGTTTGTCCAAGGAGGGGCAAACCAAAGACTAAAAATTTTAAAGTTCATGTCCAAAATATAATAAGAACAACAATAGCGTAATAATTTAACAAAAAATTATAGTTCATTACATACTACTTGATTTACTTCTGCAACCTAGGCAAATCAATCCTACGAGTTTTCATATTTTGAAAATGGTGCATAATAGCTTCATTATCAATTGCTTGAAAAATGTCTCTTTCGATGTAGCATACTAAGCAATCCGTAAGATAGTATCTCCCATCTTATTGCGAAGATCTGTCTTGATAATATTCATCTCTGAGAAAGCTCTTTCAACTGTGGCTGTTGCAACTGGTAACACTAGAGCCAACTCAATAAGACGATAGACCAAGTGAAAAGATTTGTGAACTGAGATTTGAGGATTCACACAAATAATTTCTGACTTTTCGTTAGGGATGAGAGCAAATAATTAATATGGGCATAAATTGGCAGATGAGAAACTTACTTGAAAATTGCAGAATCTGAGAACAAATGGGGAGAAGTGAGAACTAACTGGAGAAGGAAGGTAGATTTCTGTTGGGGAGTAAAGCCGGAGAGGGAGCGGGCGATGCTGCTTCTCAGTTCTCACGTTCGCTGCCTACCTGCGTTCTCAACTGCTCGATTCATTTTTTTTGGCGGAGTGGGAAGGGACTGCCGACTGCCTAGGTCTTTTGTTAATGAAGCTTTGAAATTTTAACCCACTTAATGGCTTTAGACTTTAGTGATTACGTTTTGAATTGTTATTTTTTTCATTTTTGGGCTTAGGCTTTAGGATGTCTAGGTGGCTTGGGCTTTAGAATTGTTTTTTTTTTCATTTTTCTACTTATGCCCGTTTTTTTTTACTTAGCCTTAGACTTGATGCTCATTTGTCTAATTGACTCATTAATCCCCTTTTATTCTATATTTCATTTTTTTTACTTTTTCTGAAAATACTTTTTTATTTATTTTAACACTTCATCTTAAAATAACCTTAAGTTGTACTTATTGTTTTTAAAATTAAAAAAGAAGCCGGGGCAAGAAACATATTATAAGTAATACCAGTAAAAAAAATAACTTAGGGACTAAAAATACAATTTCCCTAAGTTTCCTATTAGTATTAAATCGTTAAAAGTCCTTAAATGGAAGTGTAACATAGCATATTTCCTCGAATGTGAATAACACTATTTTCATTACAAAATATGACACATGCCTTCTTTTTCTACATTTATCACTCTTTTCGGTTATAGTGAGATATATATGAGAGAATAATTA